GAGCCGAGGTCTCTCCTAAGTCAATGGTTTTCTCCACGCCCCCTGCAGGGGAGTTTTTTTTTTTTTTTTTTTTTTAAACTCCGTGGGATATAAAATTGGCCTGTTGCTCCTTTGGCCTACCTCTCTCCCCTTTGCTGAATTAATGTTCGTGATTCTGTTTTGTCATATATTGAAGGCTGTTAGGTTGTATGAGACTTGAAGGTTATGTGTGTGTATGCGTGTGCGTGCGTGTGTGTGTGTGTGTGTGTACACGCGCCGGGCCTCTGTTACTGTCTGTCAATGGTCTGGCGGATTGCTAACTGTATGCATATCTTTGTTTCAAGATATTTCTTTAAATTCACTTCTCTTGGTGCTCACGATCACCATGGCCGTAGGGCCGCAGTGCCGTATCTCTGCTGCAGACGCAATTGTTTCTTGTCCCAGGAGTTTTCTTGTTTTGGAATCTTGCTTGGTGATCCGGCCAGAGGGGCCTAGCCTTGATCTCTGTCCTGGACTCCTGGGCTGGGCGAGGGGACAGCGGAGGCCACTTTGCTGGTTGCCTCCAGTGGGCGCTGACCGCGGGGCTACGCTTTGTTTACACTCTTTTTCACCGCTTTCCTGTCCCCCTTCCCGTGAAAGAAACTTCAAAATGCTGGCGCTTTGGAGAATAAGAAAATCAGTCTGAAAAGACAAAACAAGGCCTGCTGGTGTATAAATCCCATGAGTGTTTCTGTGAAGGGCCCCTGTCCTCTGCTGTGCTTTCGTGGTGAGTGGGAGACCTCAGGCAGGCTGGGCGCCCCCGAGGGGCTTTCTGAGGCGTGACTAGCAGCTTACACACCTGCTGTTGCCCCCAGGGCAGCTGGCCGCCTTCCAGCAGGAAGGACTAGATCTCAGAAGGGGCTAGAGGGCAGCAGGGTCCCCGCACTGCCCGTAGTCCCAGAGCCACTGCAGGAGGGGTCAGCAGTCAGCCAGACCCTGTACTCCTGTGACCTGACTCTACTATTTCCTGCCTTCGGGACCTGCCACCACCCTCTTTTCTAGAAGTCAGTCCTGAAAGTTTCTCTGCTGTGGTTGAGATGAAAACTTGGATTCTTAGAGGACACAGCACCCAAAACCTCAGGTGGTACCAAACTCCCAGTCCCTCCCCAGGTGAAGTAGCACATGACACCTCTGTCCCTGCCACCTGCCATTGCCAGGGAGGGCTCGAATCACCCCTTCTGTGTGCACAGGCCTGGCTGGACCTACGCTAGCAGCCTGGGCTCCGGTCAGGGTCTCCTGCATGGAGGGGAGCTGCTGTGTGTGGCTGGCAAGGCCCCTTCCTCCGAGGCCCTGGCTGGCCCCCAGATGTGTCCTGCATTGGCAGGTATGTTGTTGTTTTGAAGGTGGCAGGTTTTTGCTGCCTGCTGGACAAGACCTTGCCTTCTCAGAACTCGAGGGAGCAGGGCTGTTTCTGCCCTGGGCAGCAGACCCCTGGGTGTGGGTGTTGGCGTGCTGTGGGCCCTGGCCCAGCACTGGTGGGCCATGCTTCTGCTCAGCTCTTTCCTCTCCCTGGCGCTGACGTGGGCAGGTTGGGAGACCCTTTCTTGTCACCCCTTTCTGCCCTCAGCTGTCCCTGTGCCTTCCTGTCATCACCTGGCTCCTCCTTGCTCTTTGTTCCCTCTGCCTGGGGCCTCCTGACAAGCAGCCTGAGTGTGGGTCTGGCCTCTCTCTTTCTGTCAGGTGGGAAAAGCGGCTTTCCCTAGACATCCTGCTTCCCAGCCACAGATGAAACCCACCACCACCTGGTGGAACTTCCTTTGCAAAGTGCTTTCTTGGCAGTTTCATGGGGAAGAGGGTTGGTGGAGGGTGCTGGACTGCATGGGCCTTGTGAGCGGTGGAAACTGTGGTTTGTGGCTCAGTGCCCTCGACGCCTCTTATTATCACAGAGGATTTTACAACTTCTGGGCACATGTGAGGAGAGGGGACAGTGACGTGGGAGAATGAATAGCTTATTTTTTTTTTTTTTAGTTAAAAATTTTTTTAGAGGCAAAGTCTCACTATGTCCCCCAGGCTGAAGTGAAGTGGCGAGATAAAAGCTCACTGTAACCTCGAGCTCCTGGGCTCAAGAGATCCTTCTGCCTCAGCTTCCTGAGTGGCTAGGACTACAGGCTTGTGCCACCACACCCGGCTGATTTAAAAAAACTTTTTGTAGGGATGGGGTCTCGCTATGGGCCCAGGGTGGTCTCAAACCCCTGGCTCCAAGCGATTCTCCCGCCTTGGCCTCCCAGAGTGCTGGGATTGTAGGTGTGAGCCACCTCGCCCAGCCAGGAAATTAAAGAGCTTTGAATCTCAACCTTGTTTGTGTCATTTAGTAGACACCTTGGCCATGGTCACCTCGAGAGGTTTTTGTGATCTGAGGGGCACCTTGGGGCACATGGGAAGCTTGGACAATGCTGTTAGGACACCCCCACCCCCGTGCCTCCACCAGGGCCAGCCTTGACGGTGGTTTAGGACAGATCAACCCTTGGCTTTTCGTTCTGAGGACTGGGCCTTCCTGGCTCACCACGTGGTGAGAAAATCAACCTTCGAAAAAGAAAAGGGAACTTTTCACATTGAATGTCGGCTGTGTGTGCGCTCGCACTCGCACAAGCCTGCGTGAGTGTGTGTTTACTTCACGGAATTTTATTTCTGTGAAATTCCTTTCCAGTTGTGTAGCAAAATCCACCTCCATCTCCCAGTCAAACTTTTGATTCTGCGATCTGAACCCTGGGTGCAGCTCATTTGAAGAGTTCTCTTCTGGTTTTCTTAACAAGAGATCTTGAGAGTTGAGACTGGAGGGTTGGGAGACGCTGAAGTGTTTTCCGTTTCCATAGCATTGACATCCTGCAATTAAAAAGGCTGGAAGGCTCAGCCGGACAGCTCCAGAATGTTCCTTGCTGGGAGCTGGGGCCCAGCCGGCCCACGACACCCCTGCTGTTTCTCCAGCTGAGTCTTTCTCACACGCCATGAAGGGAAAGCGGGTTCATTTGCTGATTTTGTAACGCCACCGCTGAAACACCACATTCTGTTCCTTTTCCAGGTTTCAGTTTATTGTGTAAATGGTTTTGTTTTTTTTTTCCTGTTGTGAGCTTCAGTGACTGTGTCAGGGCTCCTTTGAAGAGACAGTCACACCCATGGTCTGAGAAACAGACCCAGAGAAGAGTCTGGTCTGGCCTGCGTCACCCTGAGCACAGCCCCCTGACGCTCTGCTCTCAAGCACGTTCCCACCAGCTGTATCCAACACTACAATGCATTTTTAAAACTATATTTGCAGCCAAGACAATAAAGAAACCTTATTTTTTTGAAAAGCTTGTGATGTGTGGCCTTAAATGCTACCCCTGTCGAGCTGTGGAAGAGGTGGGAAAATGAAGAGGTCAGAGCAGAGCCGGGCCCTCTGTGGGCATGCTGCTTCTCGCCTGAGGGCGCAGTTCCGCCTGGGATGGAGGCAGGAGTGGGGGGGGGGAGGTCCAAGGCGGGAGGGGGATTCTGGCAGTGCATCCGGAAAGGCCGTGGTCCTGAAGAGAGGCCTGCGCTCAGAAGGCTGGTGACAAATGCCCAGCATGGCAGATACAGCTGTGAGCTCACCAGGCCACTGGTCCAGGCCCTGCCCAGACGGACAGAGTTCACTGATGCTTGTACAGTCTGTTTCCTTATCTGGGACTTGGGCAGGCAGCACGGGCCCTGCACACTCTAGGTTCACACAGAATCGTGTGTGTCAGCGCGTTCAGTACCCTATGGAGCACTGAGCTTAGAGAGTGTGGTTATCATCAGTACGGCCAGCGCTGGCCCAGCTCTGAGAGGGTCTCAAGCCGTGCTGGTGGCCCTGGACGCTGTTAACTATTGACCCGATACTGTGGACAGGAAATATCAGAAAGTCGACCAGTAGAGATGTCCCTTTGTTCGGGCACTGAGAAAGTTTTGATCATCTCTGTTTAATTTAGAAGCTTTTCTCTTTTCCACGCCATGTTCCTGTGACCCTTGCAGCTGGCTCCTGTGCCTGGACGGGGTGACCCAATGAGAAGAGCCAGCCCTGCATGTGCTGCTGGCTTGTTTCTCCCAGCAGCTGCCCAGATCTGGATGTCTCGACTCACAATGCAATGCGTTAGTACACAGGCTCTCTTCTGACCAACCCCTCTGGCCTCCCCTAAGGGAAAAAAAGTGTGACACGAAGGAAGACGTTGGGCCTGGAAAACAGGGGACCCTGGAGAGAGGTGAGTGGTTCACCGACTGCTTTGGGCTGGCAGGGGCTTGGTTCCCATTGAGCTAAGCAACAGGGGTCTGTTTTGTTCTTTTTAATGTTTTGAGCCTGGCTCCGTGTTTGTATAGAATCACCAAAAATGATAAGGGCAGCCCAGCTGCAATGGCTCACGCCTGTAATCCCAGCACTTTGGGAGGCCGAGGTGGGAGGATCGTGTGAGGCCAGGAGTTCAAGGCCTGTCTGAGCAACATATTGAGACCCCCTTACCACAAAAAAATTTAAAAAATTAGCCAGGCTAATTATAGGTGATGAGCACTTACATTCCCAGCCGATTGGGAGGCTGAGGCCAGAGGATCATTAAAGCCCAGGAGTTTGAGATTACAGTGAGCTTATGATCACACCACTGCACTCCAGCCCGGGCGACAGAGCAAGACCCTGTCTCTAAACAAACAATGACAGTGAGGACATGGTTTGGAGAAAAAGGTGCCCTGGGTAGGTTGGAGAAGGAGTGGCAATTGTAGCACCCAGGGCAGGAGTGGTGTTTCTGGGGGAGTGAGGCTGGAGCACAGGAGATTCCCACTCAGGTGTGTGCTGGTGCCTGCTCAGTATCCGGCTTTGGGCCACTGCAGGGACAAACACGCCTCTGAACAATTCTTAAGTTGTTGATGTGGCTATTCCCATTTTATAGAGGAAGAAACCAAGGTCGTTTCCTAGGCAACAAGGCTCCCTGGGTCCGAGGCAGCTAA